CTGATGTAATCCTATTTGAATGTATGGTGCGTCAACATTAAACAGAGGTCTCTTCCGTCTGACAGTGCATGATAAGGGTTACGTGCTAGTACAAACATTTATCATTTTTCTATTATTCTAAACCGCCAAAACGTTTCACCGCCTCCTAAAAGTAACACTGTACAGTTATTTATAGCTCATAAACCATACTTCTTCCTCTTCTATTTATACTTCCTGAGAATGGAAGAATCCCAAGTGACATACCAGTCAGAGTTCATCTTTTATTATTTGGGAGAATGTAACAAGCATTTTCTTTTACATTTAAGGATAGGGGGAACATGTGTCTGTGTTTTGTTTGGGAGATTTCCTTCTAATTCCTGTCCTAGTGACAACATCGTCACTCTGGCAGGAAGAAATAGACGCATCCAGTCACACTTAGAGGTTGTTGACTTTCCCCACCCTCCTAATAAAAAAGTGATATTGCCTCTGTGGCCCTTTTAGAGAAATGTCCCATCAGTTTCTATCTCGGTGAGAACATTGTTGCCAGTGCAGGAAGTGAAATCTTGCACATAGGTCCACAGATAGTAAAATAAAAAAACAGTTGTGGAAACAATGGTGAACAACAATCTGTTCCATTTACAACTACTTCCAGGAAGCCTACCTGTTTACATCCAGAGATTGCCATCATAGAAGATACAGCCTCAGCGGTTTTTCTACTCTATAAGGAAAAGGCACGTTTTTTTGAAGGATAGCGAGGTGCACATTTTGGAGGTAAGGGACAACTGGTTTAAAAGCAGCCATTTACATCAAACTAGAACAACCATCTTTGAACAGGGGTGGGGGCCTTCAACACAGATTGGTGAACCTCTGCCAATGTTTACTTCTGAGACACTGTGACTCTCTAAGATGCCCAATCATGTTACTGACCTGTTGCCAATTAACCTAATTAGTTACAAAATCTTCTTCCAGCTCTTCCTTGTTAGTACCACTTACTTTGCCAACTTTTTGTTGCCCTGTCTCAACTTTTTTGAGATGTGTTGTTGTCATCAATTTCAAAATTACCTGTTTTTTTTTTCTTAAAATGGTCCATTTTCTCAGTTTTAACATATGGTATGTTTTCTATTGTGAATAAAATATGAGTTTATGAGATTTGAAAATCATTGCATTTCGGCCCTAATTTGGGATCCTGCTTTAGAATATGCCAGTTCTTACGAATGATGCGTTGTATCTTATTGTGGCTACTATTGAATGTAGTAATGAATCTTGTTTCTGCACAGGCTCAGGACGTTCGTTTATTTTGGGTAAAGGCGGCTGTAAGTAAGTAGAGTATGCGTCGTGGACGAGTGTATCTGGATAGGCTTTCTCTTTGAATTTGTTGGCAAGCAATTTGCTCTGTGCGGTGAAGCCTGTGATATTAGAGCAGTTGCGCTTTAATCTGCAGAATTGGCTTTTGGGGATGTTTTTGAGCCATCTGGGATGGTGCCAGCTGTGAAAGTGTACATATGAGTTGCCACTGGTAGGTTTTGTGTGGTTGCTGGTGGTGGTGATGGTATTGCCATCGTAGGATAATTCCAAGTCTAGGAATACTAGTCTCTCAGGGTTAGTCTCTCAGGATCCCAAATTAGGCCCGTCCATTGCATCTTAACCAGCAGTTACCTTTAGAAAGGCCCGTAATCTCAAAAACAGAATAACACCAAGCAAATTACTAGCTGGGGATACCAGGGATACCCCACATCTAAAATTTGACAACAGAGTGGGTATTCACCAATGTAACAAAATCCCGCTGTCTCACATGTCAGTTCATCACTCACGGACAATCCACATTCACTGATCATCTCAATAACAGTTATCCCATCAAACAGTTCATCACATGCTCGCATGACCATGTGGTCTATGGGTTGAAATGTCCATGCGGCTTATTATACATTGGCCGCAACCATCCGCCCTCTAAGAAAAAGGATAGGCGAACATAGACGCTTCATTGCCGATGGCGATCATAGTGTCCCCAGACACTTTGCCGCAAAACACGGCAAACGGATTCAGGATCTACACGTCATTGAACACATTCCTGATTGGTTTTCCCCAGCCGAGCGATTCCAGAGGTTGTGTCGACAGGAAACTTTTTGGATTTATAGACTCAACGAAGAACTAGAAATTCTGACCATAATATAAAACATCACAAACCAATGCCCTTTATGACCATTTTAAGTGTCAGTACACTGGAACTAAAAACACATCTGTCCCCCACCCATCCAGTGTCCCCCATGATGATTAAGGATAAAAAAAAGAGTGTCCCTCATGATGAGTAAGGAACAAGAATGGTCCTGCAATGCATTTTTTATTCATTTTTTTTTATTATTTCCTTTTCCTTCTTTTAATACAACCTTTAATGTTTTTTATCAAAGTACCCTTTTAAATAAAGTACCCTTTTTAATGTACGACTTTCACCCCCTATTCATAACAATAAAATCAAATAAAGTGAGCTCTTTCCCATTGTTCTCCCCCTCTCAGTCTGACATGGCCACAGCGCACACTGAGCCTTTTAATACATGCCCCTGTCCACAACCCTGTTCTCAGCTCTAAACCGTGGTATTGCTGCTTATCGCTTCTGGCTCCACCCACCTGTCACTTTTAAACCGGCGGATTCCCGCCACCGCTATATTGTTCTATCCGAGCTTGAAAAAGAGGTGATACCTCAAAAAGGGGTTGCTCTCCTTCCCGTAACAACCTCTATCCCATCACAGATCTGACTGTCGACATTTTTATACACCGGCTCCCGCACACTGCTCCAGTCTGATCCGACAGAGACCGAGCACTGACATTTACAGCCGCGGCAGCTCAGCCTGCACCCGACACCGCCGAGTCTCCCTCACACCGCTCAGATCCCGCATTTACATAGCGGTGTCATGGACTGAGTCCCTGCTCCACTTCCCCTCTCCTCGCTCACAGCCTTCCCTCCCTTTTGTGGACGAACGTCTCCAGGCAGTACACCAGCCAGATTCGGGCACACACCACGGGTGTCCCGATCCTCCACATAGGCCATCCATCCTCTGGTCCCAGGATCTACATAGAAGTACTTATACAGTTATTTTCCTACTACGGTCTGCCAAGTTAGCTAGTGCTTCATTGTCTTTGCGCCCTTTGTGTCCCTTTGGATATGGATGTCACCAGCACTCCAGAAACGACAAAATAACAAAAGATTTTAGTGAATCTTCATTTTATTCACATCACTTTAAGCCTGATGAAGGGGACCCTGTGCGGCCCCGAAAGCGCTTGATTCCTTTCGAGTGAATAAAATGAAGATTCACTAAAATCTTTTGTTATTTTGTCGTTTCTGGAGTGCTGGTGACATCCATATCCAACGATTATATCTGATGCGGCGCCATCCGTAGTCATTGCGAGCACCCACATCTCCACATGGGAAGTCCGGTAAGGAGTGCTACAGGTCCTTGGACATTTGTACTTTGTGTCCCTTTGTCGCTATGTAAAATGGGAGATTGACTATAAAGTACCGCCAATATAGTGAAAGAGCTTTTAATACAAAGACTTGTGTCTGGATGTACTATGTTTTTGCATAACTGAGGAAACATAACACTATATGCCATTTATAGCAGTGATATCATTCCGTCAACAAAAAACCCCACACATTGTAAAGTAGTAAAAGGTATTTTATACAGTAGTATGTACAATATTTACAGGTTTACATTTCACAATCACTACTGCTGTCAAGTTTTTGCCCTCACCTTCTTCTTGAGACATAAATCAGGGGTTAGAATATCTGCCAGGTTATTAATATCATCTGTGTTTTCATATACGAAATGTATCCTCACTTCTTATGTCACAACAGGAAGTGAGAGAAATTCTGCCCTATTGGCTCACAGAAGCTCTAACCCTTTCCCACCATAAAAGTAGGAAGATAAAGAGGTTAACATTTGCTACTGTCATACAATAGATCCCCACAAATAAAAGAAAATCAATTCAACAATAAAAGGTTATGTAAACTGACATTGCATCGTGAAAAAAACGTGGCAGCATCCTAAATTTAAAAGCATAAAACAAATTAAAATGTCATAATTTTGATAAGAAACACTTAGGCGTATATAAACAAATCACAAGGGCCTTCGAATATCTGTGAACATTCGTTTTAGGCAAATAATGACAAAAACAAATGCTCTTAAAAAGTTTTTTTTTTTTTCTTCCCAGTGGGAATGCATTGTGATGAAATGCTACATTATGATCACTAGACGGAGCTGAGGAGAAGAGGAAATAAGTATTTTCTTATTAGAGTAAATATTTACCTCTCCCACTGTGCCAAATATTATTTTGATGCCAAATTAAGTCCTTTCAGAATGCGACACTTCTGGCAGAGCTGACTTCCGGAACATACTTGCTGCTAAATGGAATTCTGGTTTAAATACATATTCCCTATCTACTGGTGAAATCTGGCATTGTGTCGTAATTACACGAAAATTCCCCATCTTCAGCTGAGAACACACTTTATGGCTCTATGAGCAATACTGTGTCTATATCTACATTCAACAAGAGGCGTTCATGAGCTGAGGACCACCAGTAACAGAACCCTCCTAAAGAATAGGGCAATAGAAGATATGTGCATCAACACTGTGCATTATTCAAATCATTTTGACAGTTTTTTAATCTGTACCCTCAACATTATATTTCCAGAACTAATGTTGTGTGCTATGCCAGTGTCGTATGCTATAATGTCTTCATATGCACATGTAGGAGACAAACTAAAAGATGTGCATTAGAAAATGATCTTGAATGTTTTAGAAAGGTTGTGGGAAGCTTGCTACATTGACTTGAATGGGAAAGTGCAGGTCAATGGACCAGAAAATTCGGCATGCATTTGTTTGTGTGCGTCATCTTAGCACATTTGCTGCAAGAGACTTCCACATGCCAACACTACAGCATTGTGCGAGTAGGCCATCGTACCCCGTATGCCTTTTCTACTGAACTCAACATAATGAGGGATTTCTTTTTGTAGAGTAACTATATGAAAAATAAACACAAAATAAGTCACTAAGTGGCACTGTATGCTAATTACCAGATGGTCTTATGACATTTGGCAGCGGGCATGTCTGACCTTTATAAAGTCATTTTACCTATAATCATTTTTATGTCCCATACAACATATTTTAACAATGAATCATCTTTAGAAAAAGGTAGGCAGGCATTTTACAAATGTCAAATAGTTCACAGTAAATCATTCCCAAGGACGATCCATTATACCACAAACACTGCCATCTGTAAAACACTGCTGCTACACAGAACTCTTGTGTCTAGCAACAAGAGCAGAACAGTATTGTGTTGACATGCCTGGCATGTCATTGTATCCGTGATCAAAGATAAAGCACACCCTTCATACAAGAATATCATGACTGGCTGGATTCTGGAGAACCATACAGTATTCTCTTTAGTACTGACACGCTTTATTTTTAGAGGGGTAAGATCTTTCAAGCTGTGAAGGTGCTGTAATGTCAAGCAGCAAGTATGTTCCTTCTTTCACACATGGTCATAGGGGACAGCCAAGCCAATGTTGTAATTGTATCCCGTCACCTCATTGTAGGAAGAACGACAAATAGGGAGGATACTCTCAAAAGACCTTTGATCCACAGAGAAGTCATGAACATTAATGGTACCTCGGTGTCTGTAAGAAAAAGCAAAAGGAAATATATGTATACACTTTGTCAGAGGTGTAAAGCCAAATGCCTTTGTTTTGCATTACCTATAGCTAAGCAAGTCAAACGCTAACAGATTCTGAAGCAACGCAAACACAGTAGTGTCATCAGAAGGAACTACTTAGGCCCCTTTCACATGGGCTGATCAGGAGAGGATCTGTGCCATGATCACAGAAGAACGAATTGGATGTCACGGCTGTGACATCTGTGTCCATATAGTTCTTTCCTCCTTCTTGCGGTTGGGGAAAAAACTGCAAGTAGCGGACCCCATGTTGGTCTATGGGGAATTGGATGCAAATGGACGTGTGTCCGTTTACATCAGATTACCCCCGATCCAACATAATCCGGTCCGGTGAAACGGAAAACTGTTACGGTTTGGTTTTCTGGGCCTGACCGGAGGCGGGGGTAACCGGTTGTAAACGGCTGCCCGTCCGTTTACAGACGGCTGCCCATAGACTTCCATTGGGCATCCGATCGGGTCCACCTAAAAAACTGACAGGCGAACCCGATCGGAGCAGTCGTGTGAAAGGGGCCTTAGAGTTTGCTAATCAGTATTAGAATAATAACAACAGACTGTGCCACAGCAAGGCTCCTACTTGAAATAGTTGTCATATACAGGCATCAATGAGTCAAAGAGGAATCCAATAACTGTTCCAGTGAAACCTTCCAAAGTTAATGGCAAAGTTGCCCATGCACACTAAATGTAACAAATACGGTATGTAATAACTGGAATGCACCCTATACTTTATAGATGTTTGTTTCTATGCCCATCTCCAAACCATAGCAAATGTAAAATATTCAAATATCTACATTATTTATCTCGGTTAGGATGCATTTCTGCTGTTATTCTCTTCTGTAGATCCCCCTGGTCTTGGCAGATACAGAGTTCTAATACCCTCCTAAATGAACAGACTACAGTACATGATCAGGGCTCGAGACAAAATTTGCAAAGGACACTGGCCTACTGGATGTATTCAGCAATTGTTGACTTCTAAAATGTCCAATTAAAATCTTCCTTCCTTTGCATACCAACTTAAAATCTGCACTGCTGAGGTGCTTTAATATTTAGATTAGGTTCTGTATTCTTGTGGTGCTCCATGATCCTAGGCCCAGGCTGCCCACAGGGTGTGAACCTGTACCTAGATCTGCACAAAGCTCCCACCTACACAATCTCTTGATGCTGGGGCTCAGTCCCGTCATTCAACAACCCAATGTCAGAACTAGGAGTTAGCCATGAAGGGGCTTCCCTCCGTGTTCAGCAGGGGCTCCTACCAGATTCAGTCTAAACCTAAGCTCATCCCAAGTCAGCACCCCAGTGGCCAATACTGTTGAACAATGGGATAGGGATCAGTGCCAACTTGGTCATTGGTTGAGGCCCCATGTACAACATCGGCCTAGGATCCCGAGGCTCTACTTGGACACAGATTTTTTTAGACACTATTAATGCCCTGAAATATTCACTTATATATATACAGACACATATATACAGGGCTCGAAAAATCCACTCGTCTGCGACGAGAGGACGGTGGAGCCCGACGAGCAGCTTCCCGGCCGGCCCTTGTAATTACACGGCTGTCCGGGAGCTTTACAGTCAAGTGATCGAGCGTCTCGAGAGACGCTCGATCGCTTGTATCAGAAGCTGCCACTGCCGTTGCCGGTCCCGAGATCCGCTGTGCCCAATTCGGCCGGGACCGGCACGGCTCTGTGACAGGAGATCAAAGGGAGTTCAGTACACGAACTCCCTTTGATCTCCTCAGTCCCCGAATGCAGGAAGTGATGTATATTACATCACTTCCTGCATTCAGTGTCACTCTCCAGCTACAGAAGCTGATGAAGCCGATCTCTGCCTCATCAGCTTCTCTGGGGGTCCCTAGGTGACTTTAGGGTCTTGGAGACACCTGATGTCTCCATAAAGAGGACCTGTCATGTAAATTGGCTATCCCATAGGGGGCTTCTTAGCCCCCCCATGTAATAGCAATAAAGTTGTATGTAAAAAAAAAAAGTAATACAAAAATGAAAGATTGATAAAAAAAATATAAAGCAGCATAACATTTATTTTTTTTTTTAATTCTTTTTAAGTCCGCGCCCCAAACATACACACACATATATGCGTCATGTGCGCCTACGTGCCGCACATGTTTCATATCGCCACAATTGGAGTGAGCAATAATTTTAGAGCCATTAAGGCCGGGTTCACACCTGGGCGTTTTACAGCGCTGATCGACGCGCTGTAAAACGCCCTGCAAGTGAAATCCCATTATTTCCTATGGGCATGGTTCTCACTTGGGCGTATTTCAGCATGTCGGAACGTGCTGAAAAACGCCCTATGCCCAAAGAAGTACAGGAGCTTCTTTGAGGTGTATTTCCGCGCGTATCCATTAGGATACAGCCGGATAGCCCACGTAAACGTGCGTCATACACGCATATTTCTACTATAGTTCTCCTTTAATCACTGATAACACTAAACTGATGAACAGTAAAAGCGTTTTAATCGTCGCCTATGGGCGTTTTTTGCGGGCACACGCAATTTTAAGGCTTGGCATGTCTGGTGTCTATTCATCCGACGTGACCCCGACTTTTATGTTTTACTAAAAATATGGGTAAGAATAAATGTGTTATAAAATAACGTAGGGAAACTTTTTTGGTGTTTTTTACATTACATAACATAAATTGCAAGGCTATAGTCCGGTCATAACTCATATGTTAATGTTAATGCAACAGTGGAAAGAGAGGAGACATTCATGTCTTTGTGAAAACATTAGTGATCGGCAAAAATAAAATAAAAATCCAACTGACTATTTTTAGGAGATCTCCCCCAAATGCATACGGACCATGACCAGATTTATCAAGCAACAATCATTCTGTGTCACATGTACCTTTTTAGCCTTCATTTATCACACAGGTTAAATGCATGTTTCTTTTTGGCCTGTTAAACCCCCCCAAAACATTATATATGTTTTCTGAAAGAAGAGACCCTGTATATTAAGATGATTGCAACTGCAAATTTTATGTTACATGATGTTAGCACAACATTAGTACATTTTCACTACTAAATAAAAAATAAATAAAAAAAAGAGTTAGGTTGCAGCCTTACCTTCTATGAGCAGTAAGATCATCATCCATAATGCTTGCCCCTCGGGGGTTCTTTTCATCAGGAATGTTTGCAGTGATCAGGGTTTGGGAACTGAACCAAATGTAACGGACAGGATGCCTGCAGAGGGATCAACACATGTACATTATAAATTACTGTCCAGGAAAAGTTGCAGCCATGTACATTAAACATTTTAGATTGATAACTTTAGATTCTACTACATGTCTCTAAATGGAAATCTGAATTTCCAATACTTTTTGCCAAAACAAAGGGAGATGAATACTGACTGTACATCTCTATAATTGTATGCAATCACATGGCACCATCTAGTGGTAGAAATATAGACTGCAGACACAATTTAGAATTGTAAAGAACAATTGTATTTTTTAAACTGTAGCATTCCTTGCCACTAAATAATGTCCCTTACCAGCTAAATTAGTGTTCTACAGATGGATTGTAGTGGTGGAACTGCAACAAGCATTACTGCTACTTCTGCTGCCTCCCCGGCTCCAATAGTGCACTAGAGACACCAGCACCTCTCTGCTTCTTCCTCCACCACCCATAGAGGAGGTCAGCTTACTTACTTCCTGTGTTTGCAAATCTTCCAAATCATTTTAGAAGATAATGTATTGCATTTTAAAAATGTAGTTTTCTAAAATGAAGACACTTTTGTTTGGGGGTTTGTTTACTGAATGTGATTGATCTGATGCACTGACATGAGATCTAGTACTAAACGATTACAGCAAACCTTTCTAACATCTGGCAGATCTGTCTTGGTGACCTGACTGTTCTCTACTGCAGGTACACTACAAAGTTAGGTCACCTTCCAGTCCCCAGAAAGTGAATGGACGGGGGGGAGCAGCAAAATGCTGGTGAGGTCATCTGTCTCGTGTCAGGATGTCCCTTGTCAATGTAAATGCAGAACAGCTAGCCCTCCGCCTTCTAGTTAATAAAAATACATAACTACATCAATTACTATTTTATTGCACCGTATGTAAAGAATTCTGCTTTAGGACACTTTAGCTCCAGAGCTGTGCACAGGACATGTTTGATTTCAATAACTAATAGCAGCTATATACACTGAGTGGCCAGATTATTATGACCACCCCATCAGTACTTCGTTGGGCCACGAGATAACTCCACGAGATGACTTCGTTGGGCCGCCTCGTGACTCCACCAGATGTTGAAAGGTGATGCGAGGAATCTGACACTGCACTGTTGCCCTTCTGTTGTCTTGTACCAGTCAAGCCACTCACTGTTCTGCCCTAACATTGACTAGTTGCTGACGGCCACAATTCCCACGTTCAGACCCAGATTTTCGGCTGACAGTCCAGTCTTTAACCCCTTCGTGACTGACGACGTACAGTGTACGTCGCCAGCATCGGGGCTGTTTAAACAGACTCCCGGTGACTTTTGCCGCCGGGACTCTGTTTAAACTTGTAGAGCCGACTGTCCCTGTACGCCAACAATCATCCCACGTTCAAAGGCTGATAAATCGCGTTGTTTACCCGTATCTTCAGAAAAAAAATCACTTCTACTGTCGTGGTAAACAACCTGCTTCCCTATTTATAATGTTCTGGCCCTCTAGCAACTTCAGCGCAAAATTATAGCTAATTTGCCTACAAACGTCAGGTGGTCATAATAATCTGGCCACTCAGTGTATATAACATAAAATGCAACTGCGGTGTATCCTAAGATGGAAATTGTATTTCAGAAAAGCACTTTGACATACTGTAAGCAGCCATGAGGATACTAATCCATTTTTACACAATGCATCAGAGATGACACAGTACATTCTCAGAGTGGCAAGCTATTTAAACAAAGTCTACCATGTACTTGCAGAACTAGACACATCACTGCCATCTAGTGCTTTACCATGAACAGTGGCCTTTGTTCACAGCACCCAATTGGTCTAGATCTCCTTAACAATGCACACAGTTCAAAATGTATTATACATGCACATTTTATAGAAGTTAGAAGTACGGGCAGTGCATGCACAATTGTATTATATGCAAGCATAACTGGCCTGAAATCCCTTAAGACATATGAGCACATGCACAAAAGGGAAACCTTATTTTACTACAGTAACATGTCAGCCTGATATAGAAAGGTAATTCAGTATACAGTAACTTACAATCAGGTACACAGTATGACTATTGAGGGTATATAAAACTATTGTAGATTTTACCCAGTTCTGGACCCTGACTGTACCTCGAACAGTATGTCCTGAAAGAGTCATTCATTTCATTTGCCTGTTTCTGGGTTAATGTCTGAGCAATGAAATTGTGTTTTTCAGTATATTCTACAGAAACCAGTTTGAGATGTTTCTAAAATGTTAGTCTTTGCAAATTGTATCTGTTATTTTTGGTTGTGTCTTTTGGTTGTTTACTTTGCAAATCCCCCCCAAGGTTGTCTCATATTCCTTACTGTCATGATGAGTTTTGTATACCTGCATGAATTTTATTGGCCTGTGCTCCGCCATCCCCCTTTTAGTTTCACATATAACCTTTTGTTTTAACAATAAACCTTTGAACATAGAGTGAATACACAATTTGGTGTGACTCTTTATTCCCAAGTACTTGTCTGAAGCTGACAGCATGATCGAATCTTTAACGTGTTAAGTCCTACCAGGAGGCGAGGGTTCGAGGCCCATTACTGAAGGTTCGAGGCCCTTCAGTGTCACTTTCCTGAGGGACCCTAACATGTCCTAGAGTCCTTCCTGACTTAGCATATGTCAGTGGGAGTATCTGCTGAGACTTGCCGTCAGTCTAACAGCCGAGGTCCCAATCTGTGTAGTAGATCTGCTGTCAGCAGCTCTTACAGCATTGATCGCTGTGACAGATTTTATATCAGAGACTGCGCAAGTATTTTTTGTTGCTAAGTTTTCTGACCTTTTGGTTAACTCCTTACTCTCCTTACTTTCTTTGGCTAGGTTTTTTTTTAACTGTTCATATAAACAGTGTGTTGATTTTATTTATTGATATTTTAGAGTACAAGCATACAAAATAAATAATTTTCCAAAAATTCTTTGTACATAGAACATCCATCATCAATCATGTCATCCAGCAATGTAGATCCTCGTGAATCATGATGAATAACGTGCGTTGAGAGAAAAACCCCACTGACCTGTCCAGTGACGGCCACTCATTGAGTGGCAGCTTTCTGAGTTGTCATCTGTAACATAAGGGAAGGGGCAGGATAGTGATGACATCCCTGACATGGCCATATTTTGGGCAATGAGGTCACCACTATCTCATCTCTTTTAATTACATGTAAGCAAATAGGTGGGGTGACGTCAGTTGTTGCTAAGGATGTGTTGGGTGCAGTGACCTGCAACTTCCTTAGCAGCCAATGACAGCAGGAAGCTGCCATATATAATAGCAGTAGAAAATGTTCGGCTTCCGCTGCATTCGGACAAGCATTAAGCAAGCTCAGCACGAACCAGTGTTTAGACCAAACGTATAGCTCATCCCTATTTGTAGGGAAGATTTATAAATGGTAATTATCCCGAAGCAGTAACCCCAAAAATTACCTTTACCCTGACTTTTACATGGTATGTGAATGTCCTTAGGCACTCCTGCACCTACAGCCTCAAGTTGTATAAATGCAGTGCGAGATCTAAGGCACTTCTGCCTGTGACTGCTAGTCTCATGAGCTTTAGAGTGCTCCTCCACTCTCCATGCTGAAAGCTCTGACATGAGGAAGCAAAACCCTGTCTCTACTAAGAGAGCACAGAACAAGGCATGGTAGGCCAGTAGTGGGAAAAGATTTACCCTTAACCTTTTTATGGGATCAGCTTCCAGAGTTTAGTTCCTCGTTAACACTGATAGAATGAAACTGATGCTGACAATGTCACTTGCTAACAGTGTTTGTTAGTGCTTTTAATTGTCAAATCCGAGAAGCTTTAAGAACTGAAATGAAACACTATGCATGATATAAAGATGTAACTTGTGTATCCTCTGTTTCCCCCTTTGATCACTTGCAATCACTGAAATCCTGATCCCATACAACTGTTTAGTGTAAATTGCTGCGTGTAGATAACTTCATAGAATTTCATAGATTTACTACATGTAAGGAAATTAGACATTAGCCTCGAGTTTAACAAGCTCTGTGTGCAACTTCCTCTTTTTACCCGGTAATAGATTTCTTACATATCTTCTATAGGGATGCACCAAAACCATTTTACAGGAAGGCTGCCGGGACCTTGCTGAGGGCCTCGGCAGCCTTTCTGTGAGTTGCGGCACCTGTTTACAGCGCTGGCTTCCGTTTAAAGATTGAAAGCCCTGGTATCGCCACTTAGTATTGGGCATTTTCACAAGTACGCGATGCATCCCCAATCGTCTAATATCCCTAGTAAGTGCTTTATCACACACAGACACATATACAGTACATACTTCTATATATGAGTGCTCAACAAAAAGGAAGACATGCAGCTAAAGTGCAAAATAAACAGTACCTTGCATGCATCTCCCAGAGTTTGGTGCCCATCCTCTGGTCCCATGTACAGATCAAACCCTCCTCTCCTCCAGAGACCACCTTCCAGTCATCCATACGGACAGCTGACACCCCCAAGTGGTGAGCATAGAAAGAACAGAGAGATTTGCTGCATCGCATGTCATACACACGTACCCTACAAAACAAATTGATTTACAGTATTCATGTACATGTACAAAACATTACTTTGGTGTCATAATGAACAGAACATGTTGCAGAATAAAATCTGCATTTCCTATTTATAGTACCACTTGGTTTTTTTTTAATTCACTCTCCTCAAACTGGAAAAAGGAAACGGTTTGCCTTTAAAATGTATAGAAATTTAAATAAAAAAATGAAGACAATACCACTAAAATATCCAATTTATGCATCACTTTTGTATCTAAAGTAATAACTAAATTATTGATGAATTTAGGAACCTATAGCAGAAAAGTGAAAATAGCTCTGGATCTCAGCTTAAAAGAACTTAAATCGTATCTTTGAAATGACAACAAACACACCTTTGTCATTATTAAACATTTCTAATCTACAGATACTACTAGATAATTGCCGGCTTTTTATTCTTTGCAAATCTTATTTTTCTTTTCCTCCCTATTCTTTTCAGTGGCCATTTTAACTAAGGGCAGGTTACTAGATCTCACTTTACTTCCTGGAAATTTGGCACATGTGATTAGGACATGTGACCATGCAGACCATCTCAGGGGAGGAAAATGCCATTCCCTGAGATCTCATGAGATAAGATTCCCAGCAATGCTCTATTGATGTAATCTTCCCAGGTTGCAACGCTTGGTCACACTACATCACTAATGCCTAAGAGGACAAGGAAATGGAAACATTAGGAATGCACCAATACTATTTTTTCCGAGTACCGATATTTTTCCTCAAATACACGCCAATACCAATTACCGATACTTTTCTTTTTTAGTGTCATGTGACAGTTTTTCTAAAACATTACTGACTAATTATTTTGGGACAGTGGTGGAGCGCCAGGGCCCGGCTGCAAATGCTGTGACCCTGGTAGTTCTGCCACTGACTCCAAGCTGTAGAGCGGCTACAAATCCCAGCAATACATTATACAGCAATGCAGAATACCTCCAGCTATAGAGGACTACAAATCTCAGCAACACATTATACAGCAATGAAGAATAATATGAAGCTACATACTCTGTGTTGCTCTGGGGTGGCGGCCTGTTTCCAGGGTCTCAGGTAGGCTGTTTGGGGTGTCAGGTGGGCTGTGCAGTGTCCGGAGTGTATCGTCGGTGGGGTGGCGTGGTTGCCCAGTAAGGAGTAGATATGCGGAGAGAGCTGTAAACAGGCGCCGAGGTCCCCAGTCAAGGCCAAAGAAACATAGGATTAAACAGCGGCCCCAGGCTTAAAAGCGACACGATTGGCAAGAGAGAGAACCGTGCTGCCCAAATTCCCTGCCAGCGTTCACTGCCATCATAAATGGCTGCCTGTCTGAGCCGGTGAGTGATGATCAGTGATGTCCCAAACAGGATGGTGGCCAGTGCGCTGTGATAGTGGGGAGCCGGTGACAGTGATGACAACTAGGGATGCATTAATACCGTTTTTTCAATATCGAATACTGATATTTTTTTTCCGTAGTTTCTGATATCGAAAACTGATACCTCAAGTCCCATTAAGGAAGTGGAGCGGCGTGTAATGGCTCGCCGCCCGGCTTCCCGATGAGCCGTCTTCATACTTCCTCGTCGTCAGGTGATGAGGAAGCATGGAGTCGGCTCTCTGGCCAATCAGGAAGCTGGGGGTGGATAATGACTCGTCGCCCGTCCTCATCATAATGAACTGTGTTTTGGGAGGCTGAGCAAGATATTTGTTAGGAGAATGTCTCAGATTCTTGTAGTTCCTTCCCACATCACTAATGTGTCCTGTATTTACCAGGAAAAGAACAGGGTAATAATAAAATCTAAGGCAGAGCGGCATATAGTGAATTTATAGCATGAAACATTTTTTCAATAAAAAATAAACGATGGTGCTAAATTGTCGGTGATTCCACACACAAATGACCCCACCAAAGAGCTGCACAACACATTTTTTTTTTTAAATTGTTACATCAAAATAATTAATCTAACAACTTATAAAATATAAAAATTCTTCTGAGATACAGTAGGAGTTTATAATAGCAACACACTGGATATCTTTGCAATTGGTTATTGTATACCAACAATACCAAGTTCTACATACAGGAATGTGCTATTTGGCAAGTTTTGGATACCTGATCCTGACATCTAAACTATGGTCAATAGTATGTGGACAACCCTCCAAAGTATTGAGTTCAGGTGTTTCCTGTGTATGTTACCGTTAATGTTACAGCATACAAAGGCATTTTAGACAGCTGTGCGCTTCTAATCTTGTGGCAACAGTTTGGGGAAGGCCCTTTCGGTTCCAATATAACCATGCCTCTGGAACACTGATTGAGAGCCAAGTCTTCGTGACCAACATAAGTACCTGACTCCACAAATGTTATTTTGGCTGAGTGGGAACAACTTACTACAGGGACACTGCCAAATCATATATAGGTGTGGTCAGGTTTCTTTAAACATTTGACCATAAAATAGTTATGTTCTTTAGGTTTATGGCTTTAACCAGTGATAGTGTTTAATATGCCATTAATGGCATTACTACTTTACCCCAAAAAAGGGTATAAAATTCATTTCAGTACAGCGCTGCATGACGGAATAAATGTCAAAGTACCGCAGCGCTGAATACTGAAAAATGGCCTGGATGGGAAGGGGGTTTAACACCGCGGATGTCAACTGGTTAAACAGCTGAAATGATGGTCAGTACAAAGATAGTAGCAAGAGATATTCTTTTGAGCTGATTACATGGTTCTCAGATCTATTCCAAAAATTCTTTTTTTGGATTCAATACATTAGTGAGTATATAATTAAGTATAGTGCTTTCAAAGGGTCCTGCAAAGGGGATAAATTCAAATGCAGCAGGGCTTGGTTGGGAGCAAGAAATATATAACTTACTTTATATGTAATTTTCCATAACAAGACAGCATTTCCATTTGTATATATGACCACCATTTATTAAAACCTTCATATAAAAGCAGGGATACATGTTTCTGCTCTTTTATAGAAAAACCACTGCAAACCCCCAAAATTTTGTCTAGCTCAAAACAGACAGGTTATGAATGAGCAGCAGTGAGCTGTTTTTTTTAAATCCAAAAGCCTGTCGACAAAAGCCCTAACTAGGATGAAAATGATGTGATATGACATGAACAAAGGCAGTCGTCACCTGCTCCCTTGTGGTTTAGGTACCGACTGCTGATAATTCATTATACATCAGCAAATCAAGCAATAGTTCCCCACTCACTAGCAAAGAACACATATATGTCAAAATACAATTCACTGAACATAGGCATGCCTACTTTACTTAGCAGTGATAAATAAATAGAAGAAAGGCATGGCAGACAACAGATAATCCCCCTTTAAAATGCATGCTGTCACAGGCTGAACCTGTGGCCACATGCTATACTGTCACCAACAATTGTCATTATGGGTGTAGAGATTGTGCCAAGGACATAAAATAGCAGCTCATATAAGAAAGTGTCCCTCAGGTGTAAGATTTAAACATTTCCAAAACAAACTGCTTCCAATGTCCTTTTTAGCTGATTAGCAAATGCTTTCCCACAAACAGCAAACACACCCTGGGGTGTATTTTGAAATATTCTGCCATAACTTCAGGACAATCAAATTTTACTGGAAGGGGAGTCTTACAATCCTTCTCTAGACATATGGCTACACTTTAGACAAGAATCAACAATCATCTCTTTCATGAAATGAAAGAAGAGCATACATAATCTTCCCAGCCTGTTGAAACATACTTTCCTCTGACATTTACTAAAAAGATCATTACTGCTATTTTTAAGCCATTGTTTTCAAGGATACATGAGCAAAATAAAGGGACTGCCATTGCTGATCTGTCAAGCAAAACAAATGTCAAACACACTCATCAACTCATAACCAGCTTTAAAGCACATGGAAGTGCTTTATACAGTACAACAGCAAAACGTTTCCCTGCACACTTGCCAGCCAGCATGCAAAAAAAAAAAAAAACCTGTCTTACCACTAAAGTTAAAAACAGAGGTTTTAGATACTTGTCTTCTGCAGAACATGTGAAAGCCGCACTGCCTCGTCAAGGCCCCTTTGTGTAGTGCGGTCCTTACTCTAACCTATGAGAGTCTCCATCTTGGAGCACATGTAGCAAAAGATAAAATTGGGTGCAGGTTCGCCAGGAGGCAGCCCAACCTCCTTAAAGGCCCAGGGACACACAAGGGACCCCGCACATCACAACTGCAGCTGTGACCCCCAGTGTGTCACTGCACCAAATCCGTCAAGCAAAACAAATGGCAAACGCACTCATCAACTGTTTTTAACCTTAGCGGTTAGACAGGTTTTTTTTCTTTGCACGCTGGCTGGTAAGTGTGCTGGGAAACGTTTTGTTGTTGTACTGTATAAAGCCCTTCCATGTGCACCTTGCTTTAAAGCTGGTTATGAGTTGATGAGTGCGTTTGACATTTGTTTTGCTTGACTGATTTGGTGCAGTGACACAATGGGGGTTACAATCCACTTGTATTCTATTATCCACAAAACTCATAGAAATGTATTATTCTGATTATCTGCTAAGAATCTCCTGCCTTATGCACATGTCTCAGGCCTTGCTTCTGCAGAATTGTTAAGACATAAATTGTGTATGCACAGTGAAAACTTTATTCCTTAGCATTTGTCGGGATTTCAAATGTTTCAGTTTTGGATAGAGTGGGGAAAGATTAGAACCAATGTTAATTTCTTACTGCAATCCTGGGCTCCTTTGCAGAGATTTAGCCTCACTTCTTGTCCTGCTGACAATGTTTTAATAGGCAGGAAGTAGGTGGAACGCTCAAACAGCAGCACAGACAGAAATAATACGGCTTTTAAAATGCAAGAACAATAGGGGAAGGCTAGATTTGTATTTCTGTCAGTGTCCCTGTTGCAGATTTTCCCTCACTTCCTGTCAGGAATTTTGTCCCATTTATAATGACACTAAAATTGTGCTTCTATTACAAAGCATGGCAAAGTTATTTACAAATGGAATAAAGGCTGAAAAATAATACTCTGTCTATCTCCTTCT